TGTAAATTAAGAAAGAAAAAAATGGTATATATTGTAAGAAATATATATATAGTACAACTTAAGAAAGAAAGAAAGAAAGAAAGAAAGAAAGAAAGAAAAGTGTGCATTTTAAGAAAGATGTCAAGTATTGCAAAATGAGAAAGAAAGAAAAAGAAAGGTTTGCATTTTAAGATAGATATCTAATATTGCAAATTGATAAAGAAAGAAAAGAACAGAAGAAGGAAAGAAAGAAAGAAAGAATAAAAAGAAAGCTGTGCATTTTAAAAAAGAATTTAGAAAGAAAGAAATAAAGAATCGCATGTCAACGCATGTGCGTTGTAATTTTAATGCTTTGACGAAGTTATGGATTAAATAGTTATGAATAATAAAACTATTTTACGAACTAAATAAATTGTATGAAAAAGAAAATATAAATTAAACAAGAAAGAAAAGAAAAGGCAGCTGCGAAATAAGGATGGAGAAAAACAAAGATGGCACCCAAGTGGAAGCCACTATGATCAGATTAGGCCAATGGAGAAGTAGATTTATCAGGATGTTGGAGCAGATCACCACTGTTAGGCATAGAAGTGGATCTCTCTTCTAGTAAGTCTAGCTAACCCCCATTTCAGACGTTAGCTAAAGGAACATTTGTGTTTCTTCAATACCCAGAGAACCAACCTGTGGTTTATACTGCAACTATTCCAGTCGGGTCTCGGCGGTGTAATAGTTAGCAAGCTTGTCTCGCTAGAAAAATTACGACTGAGTAGTGTGTTCGATCCTCACTGGGTGCCCCATACGCTTGGAAAATTACTATTCTGGTCGGACCTTAGTTAGAATTTATAGGTCGCCATTTTGAACAAGGCCAGTAAACTCAAGCACTCAGTCACAATGATTTTTATGACTTCGTGCTAGTGGAAAAAATCGACGGCTCACGAACAATGTCGTATATTCAATTTCACTCACAAGCCTTCGGTCAACTCGTGGTTTGGTTTCCAGGCACTTCTCAAAGGTATCACACGGTGGTGCACCCTCACTAATCAACGATAGTGAGATTTGAATCCGAGTTTCCTGTTCGGAAGGCTAACTTTCTAACCACGTGCACACATTGGTCGATGTAATACAGGTTGCGACAAAAGTAAGGCCCTTTTTTTTTATTTATGAACTTTATTGGACAAAAATAAATAAATTACAGTAGTTTAAGAAGGCTTAAGATTAAGTATGGCTTATGCGTTTGGGAATGGTTAAATATTTATTTCGAGCCGAGGGGAATTGCGACAATGCGAAGCAAATCACGGTCACCAGAACTAGCCCATCAAATTTTTTCTTGTGGCATCGACTAAAAGATTTTGTTTACAGGCTCAAATTGGAAAAAAATTCCTGAATTAAAATTAGAAATTTCTGATAAATATTCTCAAATTAATGTAAAAATGTGTTAAATGGTTAGTAAATATGGTTCAGTGTTGTATTGAACATGAACGGGAGATTTGAATATGTTAAATAGTTTGTTAACTGATGTAATGAATATGTATACACTTGGGTTCCCCCTCACAGAAATATGATTGGTTGGTGTCAGCCATAAATACAGACTGATGTGGAGGTACATGGAGGACGCCTATTGGCTACGCTTTTGCCTACGCCTATAGTCTTCGCCTATTGCCTACGCCCATTGCCTACGCCTATTGCCTACCACTACGACGAGGACCAGTCCATTACGGTTATCTGCTAGATTGTCCTACCCGGTTACAGGACAAACACTTTGCTACTTCGAACAAATATATCCCCTTCCGGGACATATCATTAACCAAAACAGATTCTTTTGATTTGACTTGACAATACTTATAAACTTTTTTATAAATTTTCTTAAATTGCTGTAATTTATTTTTGTTCAATAAAAGTTAATAAATAAATAAGGGCGTTACATTTGCCACACTCTGTATATCAGTAACATAGAATGACCAGGGAATTATTGCTGGTTTGATCAAAGAAAATGTTTCTCATATTCGTTGACAAGACATGATTAAAATAAGACGACACGAGTTACTTCACCGACAAAGGACACGTCATCAGACGCCGATGTGAAATTATTCAGAAAACCCGTATATAAATGCGACTGATAAAGTATTCGAAAACCATTTTATGTTCTGAACACATTCATCTGCCTTGTACGGTTAGAATTAGTTCAGGAACTCGTCAATCATGTGAAGAACCTGAATAAAATCTCCTGCTGGAGACTAATTCAGATAATATCGAACTGGTGATGAACATTGAGAATGAGCTTTCAAACAAAATCAACATAGGTGGGCAGAAAATTCAAGTCATAAAGAAATTAAAATATCATGGTTTGATTATCAGGACTTTTGAATCGAAATAACTACACATTTGCAGCTGTAGCAAAATTAAAAAAAAAACATCTGGAAAGACAAGAACATCTGCCTGAAATCAAAGATCTGCGTGCACTGACCGTGTCATTCTGTGTGCCCGTGAATCTTGGCAGAATTACAGTGAAGAATACAAGATGCTACAGAACAATCAAAAAGAGAAAACTGAAATGATATGGCCAAGTCATAAGAGCCAACAAGGTTTCTACTACCATCCTTCAAGGAGCTGTTCAGGGGCTCGGACAAGCATCGACCCTACGACCACATCGGTCATGGATCTGGTGATGATGATAATAATATACATTTGAAATGCAGTTTTCATCTAAGCGGTTTCTAATTTTCAGTTCAGAATACGATATTTGGAAAATGACAGTCCACCTTGATATTATGAAACACCTCTCTTCAAGGGTTTTCAGTTAAAATATGTTTTATGCACGGTCTCTAGGTGATCGCTAAACTCTCAACTCTACTAACTCGAAATTTTCGGCAGATAATTATATTGTTTCTCTGGGTTGACTCGAAATTTTGGAGCTTGTATTGAAAGTTTTAAGTAAAATGGAAACAAAGGACAAACAGTTGAAATTTTCAAGATACATAATGAGGAAAGAGGGCTTGGAGAATTTTACACTCACAGGACATACCGAAGAGAAGAGGGACAAAGAAAATCAGAGAATACCCTAACTAGCGAGAAATGGATGTCAACACAGGGATTGGAAGTGATGGTGAAAAGACAAAACTTACTAAGAGCTGCAAAGGATAGGAACTTGTGGAGAGCCATGATCGGCTACATTCTGAAGGGTTATAGAAGAAGAATTTATACTGTAACTATAGGTTGGCTTCTGCTTTTAGATGAATAGGTCAATCCGGGGATGCACTCCAATACTGACACAGTACTGTTTATTGTATCTTACATGGTTATATGCTGTATACGTAGACTTTGTGTATTATCATAAATTTGTGTGTAAAAATATATACATCATTCGCCCGATGTATCTAATAACACTAAGTTAATTGCTTATCAGCATAGCATTAGATAGGCAAATTGAACATGGAATAGGCTGTCCTAGGGGTAGTTTTGCCCAACACCAGAAGCTGCTACAAAACTAAAGCATCTATCTATATATAAAATTCTGTGACTTCTGTTAGTCCATCCGTCCGTCTGTCACACTCTCTAAAATAGCCATACATTGACCAATCGAAAACAAATTTTGGCGAGAAGTGCAAACAGGTAGGGTGGGGATGGGGGTACAAAGTGCAGTTGGTTTTACTAGGGTGCGAAGCTTAGTTTAATAAATTTTCATTCATTTTTTTAAAAATAAAGTTTTATTATTTAACATACAAAATACTCCACTTAATGATTAAAATACTTATTTAATAAAAATGCAATATTGTTTTTTGCATAAGTTTTCTTTAAGTTTTTATATACAAGAATCCAGTTTTCAGTTCGCCCTGCGTTTGTGAGAACTATAAACAATTCACAAGACCAAGCGCTTCAAAAAGTTAGATTTTGTTTCGAGAAAGAAATATTTACGCATGATCAGTTGTATGCAGCATGATCAAGAGTAAGAAATCCTAAGAAATTATTCTTCGCTGCTAAAAAAGGAAAAAAAGAAATTTTCTTAAAAATATTATTTACTATGAAGACATATAAAATTAAAGAAATGATTAAACCTTGAAGTAGAGTTTTTGTTAAAGTATTTTTGGTCAACCAAACCAGCTTATTCGCATTTCATTGATTGGGTTGCGGAATTAAATGAAACGTAGAGTGTAAATTTCGGCAAAAAAGTTAGTGAAAACTTTAACAATAGCCTAAATACTTTGAGCATTTCAAAACGCGTCACCATTCTAGCTAACCTAAAATCACGAGTCATGTTCTTAAATAGTCAAATCGAGGCTTTCATATTCATAGCACAACACTCCGTATACAACCATTTTCACAAAAAAAGAACTTTAGCAAATCACAGAAACCACATCATATGACAACTTTCAACAGCAGCAAACAAGTAAAATGAGTAGCACACGTAAATCAAAAAGAAAATAGTAACATAATCAATTGATGACGTTCCACACTATCTCAAACAAAAGACAAGGAACAATCGACAGGGCCATCTTAACACCATTATGGGCCCCTGGTCACACGAGTGTGCTCGGGCCTTTACGACAACCACTCACGGGAATAAAAAGTAAATGGTCGATAATATTAAACATATATTTATTTTATGGGTGGGAACTTCGACGTGGTGTAATGGTTAGCAAGCATGCCTCGCTAGTTTTATTTATGACTGAATAATGAGTTCGATCCTCACTAGGTACTCCATATTTTCGGCCGTGTGCCACATCTAAGCTATGTCCATAAAATCACTTGGGCACCTCGAGGCAGTGTAATGGTTATCAAGCTTGTCTCGCTAGAACAATTACGACTAAATAGTGAGTTCGATCCTCACTGGGTGCCCCATACTTTCGGCCTTCTGCCAAATCTAAGCTACGCTTGGAAAATCACTATATTTATTTTATTGGTACTTCAACAAAACTAGTGTCAAAACATTAAAAACATGCTATACAGCAGTAACTAATCAGCAAGACAAACATTTGAACAATACACAAGGCTTTAAAAACACAATAATACTCAGTAAGGCACACAGATTAGATAGCACAATATGAAATTACTACGAAGTTCTTATAACGAGCGTTTGCGGCATTTCTTTTCAAAGAATTGCTTTATTTTTGGCTGAAAGTCAAAGATCTTCAGGAATAGGATGTCATTTTCCATGCCCATGAGTGAAAGCCAGTTCAAAAATTGCTACTCCATCGTGCTACGAAGC